AAGAGCAAGAGCAAGAGCAACAGCAACAACATATGATTGAGCCAGGCCTGACCACCTTCGTGTTCTTGCTGCGTGCGGAGGCAGCAACCTGCACAGAGAGTCCAGAAGATTCCCGGGCTTGCACCGAAGGTGAAGACCTCAACGGGTTGACCTGCGTAGTTGAGCCGTTTTCTCTTAGCTCCTTCGTCAGTTCCAATCCGAGGCGCCACGGCGACTGCCGCCGCAGAGCCAGCTGCAGTGAATGCAGAGATCGAGCTGGAGCGAGCAGTGTCCTGGCGTGCGCATGTTCAACCGTCAGAAATCGATTCCGTCGTTGCTGACAATCTGATTTCACCCAAGCCGGAAACAACGCATCCTGAACGGGCTGTCCACGCGAAGGCCTGGAGATGCAGGCATGTCAGCTGGGTCAGCAGCACTGTCATTGCAATTTCTTTATGCGTGCGAGCAGCTGTGATGCACGAGGCACGCTGCCTCGGTCTCTTCTGAACAAACAACCGTGCTTTGTTGTGTTGTCGGCATCGTGTGTTTTTTGTCCTTCAGGTGACATGCACCGAAGGCTTCTGAAGGCCCCACCCGGAGTGACGAACAAAGGCGCGGCTGCAAGGGCTGCGGCTGGCAAGGCCAGAGCCAACGCTTTGCGAGGAGCCATCTCCTCGGTACAAGCAGGCTAGACGAAGACTCCGCCGCGCTCGATATTCACAGCCGAACATGCGACAAAAGTCTGCATCCATCAGCATATCTCTGGCTTGCAGACCGGGCTTCGCAAGGAAAGACTTGCAGCGGCAAGTGGCTTCGCCGTCAATCTGGGAGCCCAAACTTTGCGACCGGCTGCGCATGATGGGTCGACATAGTAGGCATGAACTGCTTCCGGCTTTCTACCAGATTGCGAGCCGCCGATGCAAAGCGACACGAGGGGAAAGGCTGCAACCAGCAAACCAGCAGGCGTTGCCGCAGCGGGAGCCTCCTGATCACAAGGCATAGCCAACAAACCATGACTGTGCAAGGGCAGAAGCAACCACCGGAAACCCGAGTTTAGCATGTTTTTCTGCAGCTCCTCTTCGGACTGTCAGCAGCCTCACGGACGAAAACATGGAATCCCGACTTTGAGACTCAATCGGAGCTGCAGAAGGCAAGTTTTTGCTCGCTTCCAAGCGTGCGGCTTGGGCTTGTCTGCCGAAGGAGTCGTTCGTTCTGCGCGGTAGCTGAACACGACAAAAAAAGGATCAGCCAAAGCTGAGCCCCGACCTCGGCGCTGTCGTTGGCCAGGGCCTTTGCCTTGTGGCAGAAACTCTGGAGCCGGAGCCACCCTTGGACCTTCCCTGCTGCCTCCAGAAAGGATTGGAGAGCTTGGGCGGCACTGAGAAAAAAGTAAGCCTCAGTCTCAGACTCCCTGCCCGCGATGCGAATGCAAGAGCGGAGCATAGCGGAGCTCTGAGCCTCCCTCTGCCAGGCTGCCGCTGAAAGTCCAAGCCTCAGGCAGAGCTCTTAAGCAACCGGGGGGAAACTCAAGACCTAAGAGCCCCAAACCCCAAACCCCTACAGAAGCCTTCAGACTTTTCTGGAGGCTCGGGGGCAGCGCTTGAAAGCCCCGAGGCTCTCGCTATGCCTTGGGGCACCGAGAGGTGCTGCTCCGGGCCTTGCCTCGGTTACAGAGACCCACCGAGCAGCAGTGGTGCTGTGGTCGTGATAGGTCTGGTGGTGGTAGTTGTTGTTTCAGTGCCTGTCGTGGTGGTGGTAGTAGTAGTAGTTGTTGTTGTAGTTGTAGTTGTAAATGTAGTAGGAGCAGGAGGAGGAGGAGGAGGAGACGGACGGGCGGACGGACGGAGCAGAAGAAGAACAGGATCTGAATCGGAAACCGCAAGCAGCTGCAGCTAGGAGCACAGGTTCATGTCACTCGAGTACTTCTCGAATCGTAGTGCTTGTGTCACATGCAGTATGTCCTGGAAAGGCCGCCTATAGCACCGTTTCGCCATCAAGACAACAAAGATAGACAATGCAATACTTATCTCTCGTTTTGCGGCCTGAGACCGCTCTCTCTGAGAAGGCCACACATCCCGGTAAAGTGTGGAGACGGCTTCCTGGATGAACATGCGAGATGGAGATTCGCATTGCAGCTCATGAATCGCAAAGCAACTTCTTAAGCGTGCTGGCTACGAAACATGGCACGCCACATGTTTCCTTCATGCATGCTGGCTTCCCCTCGCCTCAAGCATGGAGGCAGCCGCACGAGGCCAGACTTAGTGAGTTAGTCCTGGTTGCTCCTTCTTCTTGCTGCTAGTTCATGTTGCCACTTGCAGGAACAGAAATAAACGCCCAATGATCCGATCCGATCCGCAGCCACTTGCTTGAGCCGATGGCTCCCAAATCACCGAGGAGAAACACTTGAGAAGAAGCTGTCTTCGGCTGACTTCGCTTCCAGAGCTCGATCGACCCTGCGCCTGTTTTTTTTTACGAAGCAGGAAAACTTGCATAAGTGTTTCGTTTCTACTTCGGGGGCTTAGCCTTCCCTTCTGCTCTCAGAACAGCATCGCAACTGCTCTTTCTGCTTCTTGCAAGTTGTAACATGCATGCTACATGTGGCTGTAAACTCAGTTGCTCAGCGAAAATGGGACCATCAGACTAGCCCTGCTGTCTGCACATGTCTGTGCGATTAAACAGTTGTCAAAGGTTTTTGAGCATGCCACGTCCCACAACTCGGCTCTCGGCTGCTGGACAAATTTGTTGAACTGTCGCTCCCAGTTCACCTTTTGCATCGTGGGCGCTCTCTTCATGATTTGAGTGCTACATTGACAACATGCTCAGGGACATTGTCGAGCTCCCGACCGTTCATTCGTCATCTTCCTCGAAGTAGAGACCGCTGATCTCACCGTCTGGAGTCTGCCAAGGCTCGAGCAGGCACCTTGCGTTGCAGGGGATGCGTACATGCGCGGACAGCCATGCAGCTGCCAATGAGGCGAACACCCGAAGCCCGCCCCGCAGAGGCCCCAGACCGCAGCAAGTGTTGGCCTGAAGAAAAGGCAAGCTATAATAGCTTATAGTGTATCGGCAGGCTCCTTTGCTGAGACCGAGGCCCACCACCGAAAAAGCCTGATGGAAGGCGGTCGCGTGCAGGGTCTGGCAACGAGAAATCCTCCGCTGATGACGAGTGTCTGGCCGACGATGGTCAAGAAGATGCCGCCACCGACGATGTACCGCGGGAAGGGTCGCTGGCAAGTCAGGGGAGCTTTCTAAAAGGACGGACTTGATACGTAAGCAATGATGGAATATGATGGAATGTGAAGGGCAATCAACATGCACCAGTCAGCGCCTCCCAGTTGGGGTCGTAGCCTTTCTTCTTCTTGTTGAAATTGAACAGCACTTCCTCTGCAAGTGTCATGAGGCGGAGGGAAGCGTGCAGGTGCTTTCTCCAATTAGGCGTCCTCTTCATCAACTTCTCGCGCCCGCAGACTGACAGGTGATGGGCCTCGGGTCGACTCTCTCTCCGGCCGGTGGCTTAAATTTGGGGTCGAAGTCAAGGCTGTGGCCGGTAGCTGCTTGCCTTCGGACTGAAACCTGACACCGAGGGCGGCAAGCAGTGGGTCCCTGCAGAAGTCAATCGCATAACGATGCGCCTGTGCGGCAGGAGCCGTGAAGAGCAAGTTGAGGCCAAACACCTGTGCAGCTCGTAGTCCTAGACGTCAAACGGAAAGCCACTAGAATCATCTCATGAAGCTCGGAGGCCAACGAAGTCGCATGCGGCCACCACGCACAGCAGGACTGCCTCAGAGAGGCTTCAGGCAGAAAGATACGGAGAAGGTCACAGGTCTCAGGGCACTGCCACACACAGTGGCGAGGATTGCCTCCGCCGCAAGGTCGGCATGTCCACCGTCTGACACAGCCACAAACAGCAGCTTTCACCACAGAACCGGCTGGTCACTGTCGCTCTACGTGTATGTTCTGTCAGGCAACCCAGGCCTGAGGGTATGCCCCTCGCGGCTACTTTTTGTTGCAGCGTCTTTGAGCCAACAAGCTGTTCGTACTCTGTGTATACACTCTGACGTTGACTTCGTGCACAGCTAATGCTGCTTGACGGAGCACTTTGGCTTGGTTTTGACGCGATGCCCGCATGGGTAGGCAGTCAACTTTGTCATGCCGGTACTCCAATGCGGTGAGGGCTCATGGTGAACATCTCTATGGATTCACTGCGGCGCCCTGCCTCATGCGAACCAGGCACCGGCACCTCGGTGGTTGAGGCTTCGGGATTGAAAACTCACCGTACTAATTCACCCTGCGCGCATCACGTCAGTCTGCCCAAATGCACAGCGCCCAAGCGGCTACGAGCCCAGGACATCGAGAGCTTCGCACAAAAGTCAGGCCGGGATTCAGGCCGGTGGCAGCACGCGCTGTGTTCGTGTAGCGAGAGACCAAAACCTTCGAGAGGAGTCCGGTAACAGTCTTCACCCTTCTCTCCTCGGCGGCTTCCTAAGATCTCGGAATGTTGACTTTTAAGAGCTCCACCACCAGAATGGAAGCGTAGACAGTGACCTTTGGCACCCAGCCAGGCTCTACTGACTTCGTCGAAAAACTTCTAGGTAACTAGCTCATTCTCAGGCACCAGCCAGTGTGAGGTAGAACACAATCGATATGGCAGTGAGGCCTGGTCAAGCTGTAAATGGAAACGAAAAGCTCAATGCTTTGCGACTTTATGAGTATTGAAGAATGAGTAAGCCGAGACATTGTGAACTGTCCCGTGATGGTATGCTGCATGCTTTGCAGTGCTTGCTATCAAGACGTGGCCTGCCCTTCCGAGTCTGCGATCAAGGTTGGTCAAGAGTAAAGACCCCGTGCCTCCCCGCAAGGAATTGCCACAGAGTCTCATAACCTCTCGTTCAACTACATCGGAACATGCAGAGAGCAGAGCAATGCAAGGCACGTAAGACCAAGGTCGAACGGATCAGGAAACATGAGCACCTTTGAGTCCTTCGGCAGGGTGTAGACGAAGCCATTCACGAAGCACTGCGCAATAAAGGCCGAGGACAAGCACAGCTCTGACTTAGAGAGCAGATGAAGAGCAAGAGCACAACAGTGCGCGCCACGACCAGCTGCATCAGCATGGCCCAGGTCGCCACAAACATGTAGTCCTGGCCGTACAGACAGTGGACCCTGCGCCAGCGCATGGGGGGCCGCTACCGGCCTGTTCGGGGTTCGGATAGATCGGATAGTCAGTTCACAGATGTTGCTGCCAGAATGCCTGTCCTGTGCGAAGCCTTGGGGAACGCCAGGCCTGCACAACGGCAAACGGCTGGCTGCTCCCAGGCACGGCTCATCAGGGCGCGTTTATGCACGTGCTAGACATCGTGTCAACATCTTGAACATCCAAGGCCCTGACAAACCTACTGGAGTTCTGATGTCGTTTGCAGCGACCTGGGAAACCCGGCCACGAATACCAAGTTCAAAGAGCTCCCGCCTCTGAGCACGGAGCCCAGCACTCAATGAAGAGGACAGAAAGCATCGGACAAATGCTGACAGTGTCCTTTCGCAAATGCAACGGCTGCAACTGCGTGTAGATTCAGATGACAATGTCCTTGGCAGTTGTCAGCGTCCTACCAGCACCAACAACGTGCAGGTCATTCACTCGGAGCTGCGTGTCGCTTTGCAGGCTCCTGATGCCGTCCAGCATGCTGACGTTCGACAGCTGCCTTCAAATCCCGTCCCAAAACTTTGCAACATGTCTGCTGACTTTGCATGACAAGATCAAGCCTAATGGATACGCAGAGGAACAGGCAGAAATGGACCTGAACTCAACCAACGGGAACTCCACATGGAACAAAACACAGCAAACAGTGGACTGCAGCACCCCTCTGTGTATCCGACGATGAAGAAGTAGGTGCCGAGATGCATCACCTGAAGCAACCACGGCTGCTCTCAGCAGAACTTTGCCGAGAGCTCGAGGCAACTGCCAAAATTACCCACACGGGCTCGTCTGTCTGACCTACAAGGCTTCTGGAGTCCGCCTCAAAGTGCCACAACAAGATGCTGGGCTGCTGGCGCCAAAGATGGGCACAAATTACACAGACTCCCAAGTACCTCAATGGTCCAAGTCATGAACCCTGTGTCTGAGGTGGACATGCCAACACGATGACTTTGCGGTCTTCCGGATCTTGTGTCGCACAGCGCTGCTGTGCTAACCCAGCGCAGCGAGCTCATGAAGGTGTACCTTACTCAAGACTGCACACACATACACACACACACACATAAACATACGCACGCTCACACGCACGCACGCACCCTCGCACGCACAGACAGACAAACAGACAGCCAGGCAGGCAGGCAGGCAGGCAGACAGCCAGGCAGGCAGGCAGGCAGCCAGCCAGCCAGCCATTCGGGCAGGCAGGCAGGCAGACAGACAGCCAGGCAGGCAGGCAGACAGACAGACGGACAGACAGGACAGACACACTTTTACACACTTAGGCATCCATCACGCAGCCACTGACCTGTCTGTCTATCGAGCCCTGCTCATGTAATCGTGAAAGCATGAAGCTTTCGGGGTTCCGGAGCCAATCGGAACTCAAGGCTCATCGTTAGTTTATTCTTGTTTTCAACTGTACATGGCAACTGCTCGGAACAAACTACTGCACACAAATGTTGACCGATCCAGCTGTGCAGCCAGCACCCAGGAACTGGTCTGCAGGTACGTTTACCTGGCTGCATCATACAGAGCTTCGTTGGCCCGAGCAGTATGACTCTTGGTAACAGAGTTCTACACACACACAAACACACACACACACACACACACCCGCGCGCGCGTGCGCGCACAGCCACGCCGTAACAGAACCAAGCCACAGCCGAGGATGACCAGTTGCGAAGTCAACTATGTCCACGGTTCCGGGCACGACCTGGTCGACTCAGGCAAACCACACTCCCTGTAAGCAGTATTAAGCAGTGGAATCATGAATGGAGCACCTTGAGCTCTGCTCTTGTAATGAAGGGAGTCGCTGTTGCAACAGCTGCCTGCATCAGGCCGCTACAGGATACCACAGTTCTCAACACAAGGCAGGTCAAATGGGCACCAAACAGCAACAACAGCCGTCTGATTCATCATCCTCATCCAGTACAATATAATAGTAGTAGCTGGAGCAGTAGCAGTAGCACTAGCAGTACCGGAGTCGCGAAGTAGTCGTCGTCGTGGTGGTCGTCGTGGTAGTATACTATAGTTGTTCTTGTTGTTGTAGCAAGCACTGCAGGAAGAGAGCCAATTACACACAACCCCGGCCTGCACGAAAAGGGAAAGGCAGCAAATGTACATTGACGTTTCAACGGTACCTCGGTCTACAGCGTGAATTAGACAGATACTTTCAGGAGTCAATTAAATGATTGACAGCTTCACTTCAATCACGACTGCAAACACGGTTGCCTTTTATGCTCGGGCCGCTTCGATACCATAAGCATCCATTTAAACATGAACTGTGTGTGCTGGACCGTTCAGCGGAGGGAACATGCGAAGTCGCTGAGGGCTTCTGTTCAAGCAGGGACTGAGACTGTACAAAGTCTAAACGGAACGGCCCCCTGCACTCTGGTAGGGGGCTCAATCTGGTCGATGCCCTCGCCAGGACCACAGGGAGTGCCACTTTGATCTTAGCCAGTCGGCCCAGCGATTCACTCGGTAGCTGAAGACAAGAAGTGTAATAAAGGTGACAAAAAGGACACGCTTCCACCTTGGCTTGGACAGCGTGCTGCGCTTCAGCGCGTGTCGATCGAGCTCCTCCACATCCTCTGCGGCTAAACGCCATCCAAGGCAACCAGCAGTGTCTTGTGCCTGCAACATGCTTCTGGTACCCACCAGGGGAATTGCCCCGTGGCAGATCGTCCAGTTCAGACAAATCTGCGCCATGGACTTGTCATACTTGCTCGCCAGTCTTTCGATGACACCTCGCAGGTCATGCAACTCGTCCATGACGAGCCTAGTCATCTTGGCCAGACGGATTCTTGAAAACTTCTCGTCCGTGAGGGCTTGTGTCAGAAGGCCTTGGCCGATAGGCGCATATGCAATGATTTGCACATGGTTCTCCTGGCAAGCTCTCAGGGTCTCCTGCAGCTCTGGAGATTGAAAACACAAAAGATTGAACATGATCTGGTTCGCTGCGATTCTTCGGCCGTGCTTTTGAGCCTCAGCGCAGGCTCGTCGGACCTGCTGTGCATTGCAGTTGGAGATGCCGATTTCACGGATTCTTCCGGCCTTCGCCTCTCGACAAGCTGCATGCACCCAATACTCTAAGGGGAGAGGGTGAATCGGAGTGTGAATGAAATAGATATCAATAGCATCTACGCCCAAGCGCTCACAGGATCCCTGGAGAGCTCGCGAGAAGCTTCCATGCGTCCAACGGGCCAGGGTTGGTAGGAATTTGGTCGCAATGATGCAGGGATAGGGCTGCTTCTGATCTTTCAAGGGCTCAACGAGGACGTCTCTGAGCCTCTCTTCGCTGGTTCCACCTCCATAGCCTTCAGCGGTGTCAAAGAACTGTACCCCGTGAACTTCTGCAAACTCCTGGCAGATGCTGGCACAGAGCTGATCGTCAAGGTTGCCACGGTTCAGCTTCTGATCCAGCCAGGTCCGGCCCCATTGCATCGTCCCGACGCCGAGAGGCTGCTGCAGTGTAAGGCTGCCGATTTGCACATGGCCATCAGCCGCCATGTCTGCAGACAGGTTGCGAGTCTTGGAGCCGAGACTTGGGCTCAGGAGCTCGGAAGGTTTTCTCGCCAGAAAGGGGGAAGCTACAAGTTAGATCATCACTATGTTCAGAACCCCGAGTTCCAGAAGCTCCTTTACTGGCACAGTGCCGATGCATGCTATTCTATAGAAAAAGTAAAGCAAAAGAATGACAGATACTAATATAGTACAGTATACTAAATATAAAGCTGGATAACATGCCACCTCCTGAAGCTCCTGGGGCCTTGGCTTGGGAGTTCTTCGCGATGTGCATCGACAGTCAGCTGAACTCCCACGCAAAACACTGCCAGCCTCAGCGCCGGTCTCGAAAGACAACACGCCTAGATTAGACTTGCACGGCTCGCCCGATCTCTCTTGCTTGCTTGCTTGCTGGGGGTGTGGGGTCCAGGACCCCGATCTCTCTCGCTCTCTCTCTCTCTGAGCCGTCCTGTGTCATCTCATATCAGCTGTAGCCCCACTTTTTCAACGAGGGATTGCGTGTCTGGGGTTTCGACCACAAAACCGCCCGCACAAGCAGACGAAGCAAGACTCCATCAGCTGCAGGGGGGTTCGGCTTGCACTGCCTCGGCGTTGATCTCCTCGAAGTCTCCATCATGTTGCCAAGCTTGGAGCACTTGTGGCAAAGGGACTGCCGGCCGGGCGGTCTCGTTCTGCATCTGCTCGCAGTAGAGCTGCGCCATCGCTGGACAATGGGTTCAGATAGCGTCACCGGAAGACATTTGACAAGTCATCTCCAGATTCACTGGCTTCCTCCACTTTGGCAAGGGTAGCTGCCTCCTGTCATTACGCAAACATGAGCCCTCAAGACTAGCCGATGCATCATCCAGCCGTTTGCTCCAAGATAACGCTCAGAGATCTACCATGGCCTGTCCTCAATGCGCGCAGAGGGAGAGAATGCGACTGGCTTCGCGGTCATGACGTCATTCGTGGGCGAAGCCTCCTGCTGCATACTTCTTGACCACTGCTCGAAGCCCTGACACATCTTACGCTCAAAGAAGGCCTCTTTCGGGGAATCTGGAAGCTGAAGAAGCGGTCCCGCAGAGCCTTCAGAACAATAGTCTGACATGGCCGAGGCATGCTGGCATGCCAAACGCCGATCTCTTCTCAAGGGAGCCAACAACATGCTTCCACGACATCAGAAACGGCCTGCAGTCAGTGCCAGCGCGGGCGCGGGCATTCCTGAGTCTGCGTTAGCGTTAGCGCACCCTGGCATCGCATAAAGACCAACAGTTGGTTCCACATTCAGCCTTCCTAACCGGTCAAGGCTCCCATGAGCTGGCAGAAGGCCGCCTTCTCGGTCATGTCGATGCCTTGGCGGAATATTCCACATGCAAACATTAAGACTCCTTACGATACTATTCCGTCCGCAGATGCTCGTGCGGGTCTACGCTATGCACAGATGTGTCTCTGTGTGTGTATATATATATACATACATACATACATACACCATACATACATACATACATACAGAAGTACCAACTCGCAGCTCGCATC